TCCCACGGCCCCCTCCTCACCAGCAGCCCTCCCCGGAGGAGAGTCGCCCCTGGGCATGGCCCACACGAAGCAGCACAGCCAAGGATATGGTAACCGGGCAGCACAGACAAGACTCTGCCCTTGTGCCCCGTCGCACGCAGATGATGCTGCGGGGCATGGGCGGAGGGCACTGCTGGGTTGCCTGGGTGATCTGTGGAGGGCAGTGGAGGTGGTGGGTGGCCCAGTGGACAGGGCGGAGCGGAGCGGGGACAGGGGTGAGGTGGTGGTTTTTGGGCACTCGATCTGTAAAAGGTTCGCCATCACTGGAGTAGATGTTCCAAAATTACTATGGGACTGAATTGTGATTTGTTGCCTGTAAAGCAACTTTCCATTTCTGATACGTTAAACTACAGTACAAACCTCTGAATTTCTCTGCGAATATAAAAGCCTTGTTGGCTAGATGTTCTTTGGAGTTGATCTGGCACATCTGAAGGGCATCAGGTTGAAGAAGACTGCCCTAAAATGCTACAAATCTTGTTCAGCAGAGAAAACATTTTTGAAAGAAACCGTTTTACATGTTGAAAATTAGGGCAGTTCCAGAAATGTTGCTGGGTGGCATTTAGCAACCAAAATAAGGCTTTTACGGGGCATTACAGAGGTCCTGTTAAAAGGTGGGACCTAAACAGGTCCACGGATTTAGGTGTAAATCTGAGGGCAAGAGACAAAAAGCTGCAATTAAACTTGGAAGGGGTGGGGAGATGTGACCCTCAAAATAACTGTGATATCTGTAAGAAGTCCAAATAAGTTAGGCAATTTGGTTTTGCTATTTTGGAGGGAGACTCCAGCATAAAATAGGTGAGGGAGGAAAACTGGTAGGAACCTTCAGGACGATTTTCCGATAACGCATTTCATAGAGATAGATTTAACTCCTCGTGCTTTCGCCTAGGGCAGTGGTGGCAAACCTACGGCACGGGTGCCAGAGGCGGCACTCAGAGCCCTCTCTGTGGGCACGTACGCCGTCGCCCCAGTCCTAGGCCTTCAGCTGGGTTTTATAAAACCTTTTCGCTTTAGGCCTCCGCCGCCATGTGCAAAAAAAAAGGTTCAATCAATCAGTCAATTTCAACTTCTCGCGGGAAAAAAAGATCTTGCAAAGTTGGAATTGATTGATGGAACTTTTTAGACCCACCCAGTCTGCTGTTACCACCGCAGCCACGCCCACCCAATGGGCCACACCCACCCGGCACCCGACAATGCATAAATGGGTTTTGAGGTGCAGTTTGGGCACTCGGTCTCTAAAAGGTTCGCCATCACTGGCCTAGGCGCAGGGGTAGGCAACCTTGGCTCTTTTATGACTCGTGGACTTCAACTCCCAGAATTCCTGAGCCAGGAATTCTGGGAGTTGAAGTCCACGAGTCATAAAAGAGCCAAGGTTGCCTACCCCGCCTAGGGAAGGAGCTCCCATTATCATACCCATTATTATTACAGTGACCGTAAGGAATAAATAGGTTCCCTGGTTTTCATCGCTGCCGGCGTGCAACCCGCAGTGTCAGCGTCCAAAGGGGTGGAAAGGCCGGCCTTCCCCTCCCGATTGTCTCCGATTGAAAAGTCCTCCATCAGCCGCAACCCAGTTTCTATCACGTGACGACGGCCGCCCTTTCGGACTCTAGCCCTCCCCTAGGCGAAAAAGGAGGCGGGCGGGGCCCGGGGTAACCAATGAGGACTAGGGTACGCATCGCTGCCTGACTCTAAGGGAGGCGCTGGGCGCTTTGCCCAGAGAAAGAGTGCGGCTGCAGGAGCAACGGGGCTTCTTACTACCTTGAGGCATCATGGATTGCGAGGACGAGGCCGTTGTTTTCGTTGCTGCTGCAAGGACCCCGGTCGGTGAGTAGAAACTACTACCGGAGCTATTTCATGCCTCGATCTCGTATTGCTCTAAAACGGGCGTTTTCACGGACTGGCGTTGCGCTTGCTCCCAACCTTGCGTGGTCCATTCATTCTGATGCCTGCGGGAAATTTGCCTTCGCCCATTTTTTTTTTCCTTCTATGCTACCTGTTAGGGGAGGAAATCCTGTACTTTTTTCCTGCTCATGGCAGAAAGATAAGCAAATGAATCGAGGTAGGATTGTGGTAGGAACTGTACTAGGGATGATGTCCTGCGAGAGGCCTAGAGAACTCTAGAACTGCGAGGGCGAGGATGTATGTAGGGCTTTGTTACCTGCTTACTTAACTGTTAGGAACTATTCGGGTAACAGATTGGAAACGGACACCGCTGTCTAACGGTATGTCTGGGAATCCGACGGAGTTTAACAAGATTGAAATTTAGCTACTGTATGCAAAATAGAAGGCTAAATCGTTCATCTAACCCAGTGTTTCTCAACCTTGACAATTTTAAGGCATGTGGACTTCAACTCCCAGAATTCCACAGCCAGCAATGCTGGCTGTGGAATTCTGGGAGTTGCAGTCCACATGCCTTAAAATTGTCAAGGTTGAGAAACACCGATCTATTTCTAACCCATTTACTTACCCCTCGACGCTACACTGACATTCCTTCAATCTGTCCTCCACAAAGCTCGAGCTGGCTTGGCACCTTTGTTTCTTGACTCCCTTATTTGTCTGCAATCGCGATTCATTAGGTGAACAGTTTGACACACGGGAAATTATTAGCAGAGCGAGTGTTCGAATCTGTGCTTGCCACTCTAAGCTCCATGTTAACGTTGGGTGTAAGTTGCCCACTGGGTTTATTTATCACATTTATACACTTCACCTAAGTGCCTCTAGACGGCTTACAATAAAAAAATAAAAAGGTTAATGCTACTACGGGAGAATAAACGACGTGAAAAACGGATCCCCGCTTGCTTGCCCTGTTGGCTTGTTCACAGCAGTGGCTTTGTTTGTTTTTTTCGTATTACCGAAGGCTCCTCCCTCGCCTTGCAATGATTGGACAATGAGTTATAGAGCCACCGCCTGAAGATGCGCCGTGATTGCCTCGCGACTCTTGCTGAAGAGTCCCTCGTGCTCTGATTGGCGTTTGGTCGGTAGAACCAGGACGGTCTGGTCGCCGGCTGTCGTTTCCTTCCATTAATGAAATCAACTCCTTTGCTCTTCCAGCGCAAAGAACAACATCGAAGAGCATCTAGTCCAGTGTTTCTCAACCTTGACAATTTTAAGGCATGTGGACTTCAACTCCCAGAATTCCACAGCCAGCATTGCTGGCTGTGGAATTCTGGGAGTTGAAGTCCACATGCCTTAAAATTGTCAAGGTTGAGAAACACTGATCTAGTCAGCCTTGGAGCCCTGGCTTCCAAACACAATGTTGCATCTTAGCTTTGGGTTATGGTTCCCCTCCTCTTTGATCCTTCTTTCCTCTTCTGATTAGTTATTCCACGTTTTTATTTATTATATTTATTTGCCGTCCATCTCACTGTCAAATGATTATGGGTGGCTTACACTATCAAAGCAATAGTATAAAACAATTAGAACATTAAAAAAGTAAGCATTAAAAATGCTTTAAAACGAGAACATTGAAAGTAAACAAAACTAGATAAAAGGGACGTAAATGGGATGGGGATGGGGTTTTCTCCTAATCTACGACACAATTCCAGAGTAGGATGGCCCCCATTGGGCCCCCAAGCCAGTTGGCAGAACCAGGTTTCCAGGCCCTTTCACTAGGCTAAGACAGGAGCAGATCTCACCTTGACTGACACAATATTTCAAAGGGTGGAAGTCACAGCAAAAAAGGCTTTTTTCATGGCACCCCGCCAGTCAGAATTCCTGCCGCTTCTGATGGAGTAGATGCAGTTGACCAATCCTATGGGGCTTTTATATTTCATGAGGTCTTTCCTAGAGTTTTGTATAAGAATTTAAAAAAAAAAACCTCCTTAAATCAGCTTCTTAAACAACTATGTAAGACATCATGGTTAGAGATATGAATAATTCCTCAGTATTTAACAAGAAATCAATGGAGACTCTTTTTTTAAATAATATTTTATTGATTTTCTCACTTTACAATTGGATATTTAAAAAGCAACGTGATGACTGGGTTAATCAATAGTACAATAGTGTACATAAATCTTTAGTATAAATCTCATGTTACATCAGATATTTCCTCTATTTTTCCATTAATGTCTATTATCTCATATTAGGCTAGTACAATTATTATTATCAACTAAATAAAAACATATAGTATAGTCAAGGCCATGGTTTTCCCAATTGCAATGTATGGATGTGAAAGTTGGACCATAAGAAAGGCTGAGCGACAAAGAATTGAGGCCTTTGAACCATGGTGCTGGAGAAGACTCCTGCGAGTCCCTTGGACTGCAAGGCGTTCAAACCGGTCAGTCCTAGAAGAGATCAACCCTGACTGCTCTTTAGAAGGCCAGATCCTGAAGTTGAAACTCAAATACTTTGGCCACCTAATGAGAAGGAAGGACTCACTGGAGAAGGGCCTAATGCTGGGAAAGATTGAGGGCAATAGAAGA